TATATATATATATATATATGAAATATTATATAAAAATTTCATAAAAAATTTATTAATAAACAGTTGTATGTATATATTAGTATGTGTTAATTAATATTTTTATGCATAAAAGGATCGCAACTATTTCCGTAGTCCAATAATAAATATAATAACAACTATTATGTATTTCGCAATTAATTGAAAAAATATATCTCAATTTTATCAAGTACAATATACGCGGCATTAGGCGCTCTTAAAAAAATAGTGTCCCCCTGCCGTGCATACCTCGCTTATACTATGGATGCGTTCCGTTTCTCCCATGATGCGCATAATGCATCGTTTATCCTTGTTGCTCACCAAATGTCAAACAAGGACAATGGATGCATCATGCATATCATGCGCAATACGGAACGCACCTTATGTTTCGCCGACCCTATCTGCGAGAATCCGTCGTTTAAAAATCAACGAACGATGCACGCTTTGCGGTCTTTTGAGAGTAATAATCTCAACGTGACCGCTGAGATCAAAACAAAAAACAAATATATCTCTTCGTCCACATTATTTATTATTTAATTTAGGTAAGTTATTTTAAAAAAAGCGTTGTATTCCTTCTGTCCCCGAATAATTTGAAAGTAATTTTTAATCTTATTATTCTCACGTTGCAGATTGACAAAAAATCTTACTAAATTGAAACACAACAAAATAAAACTAGTCAGAGTAGACTGGAGCGGACGGACTGGACTAAGGTGGAAGATGTTTCATAGTGATTGAGTCTCTATCTACGTTTAGGAATATCGAAAGTCGTCGAATGCTAAGTGTGATCTCTCAGACGACGCTCGTGGCAGTCTATCTGACTGCGCCAGAGATGCTTCGATCGCGGCCTCCCAAAATTATAAAGCTTCTGGCAAACGAAATGTAAGAGGCATTTAAATAAGTTTCTTTTACATTTTAATCTCAATTTTCGTCTTTTAGAAACTTCCATCACTCAATATCTCTTTTAATAGTTTTAATCAGTTTAGTATAGTCTAATGTAGGAAGAATGGACGAATCCAATGATTTGGAAATTGCGGGATTGTGTCGTAACATCCGTGAACCTTGGGCAAGTCGGAAGCGTACGGTTCTCGAGTCAACTTTGTTGTTAATCAAAATTTTCCGTAAATTTTTCGTTACGTGTCCATTTTCTTCCACCGATCTGTTAATTGAAAATTACGAGAATATTTATCGTCTAAAAATCGAAACTGAAGAAATGAAGAGCAGTTTCACTTTAGGCTGACATCCCACAGTCCGCAATCGACCATCTCTGTAACAACTCTACACTCTGCCACAAGTCGCAAAGATCTTCGAAGCGTTGCACCGCATTGTCACTTTTCGTCGAATTATTTGCGTCTTCGTCGTTGAGGAAAATCGTGCTAGAGCATCATGCCAAAAAATAAAGGTAAATGCAACCTCGATTCTAACCCGCGTCTTGAATCCCCGATTTTTCAATTATCACGTTTTGTCCCACTAATGTGGTTAAGTTTGTTAACTTAACCTAATTCGCGTCAACGTCATCCTCGAGGCGACTCAAGTCTCAAGTATTTTCACCCTTTCGCATGACTCGCTGAGAACATTATCACACAAGCTATGCTTTGTTCGCAGGAAAGGGAGGTAAAAATAGGAGAAGAGGAAAGAATGAGAACGAGACTGAGAAGAGAGAGTTGGTGTTCAAGGAAGATGGACAAGGTGAGAGTGAAACATGGTGCGAATGACGCGACGTTCTCTCGGGAACGAGTGTCAGTGACTTACTCGATGTTTGTCTTGTACAGAATACGCTCAAGTGACAAAAATGCTGGGCAACGGTAGGTTAGAGGCCATGTGTTTTGATGGGGTCAAACGATTATGCCACATCCGAGGCAAGCTGCGGAAGAAGGTGTGGATTAATCAAGGGGACATCATACTGATCGGACTGCGAGACTACCAGGATGCTAAGGCAGATGTTATATTGAAGTACACGTCTGATGAAGCACGTAATTTGAAGACTTACGGCGAATTCCCAGAAACTGGTAAGTAGTATTCTAGCACATTTTACAATGGAAATTGCAAAGTGTAGTTTAGTAGACCTCGCCTAATTTTTGGTTAAATTCTTAATCTTGATAATCTTATAAATTATCTTATAAGTTGTGAAACCAAATTTTTTTTATCCAAAAAATTTCTATTTTATATACTTTCTATTATAAAATTTTCTCTTAGTGCGTATCAATGATACAGTAACCTTCGTGGAAGATGGATTTGATGAAGACATCGAATTTGGGGATGAAATTAGCGACGATGATGAAGATGATGTTGACAATGTAAGTTTTTATACATTTTTAAAAATTGTATATAATATTCTATCTATTTATGTTATATTATAATTTTTTTATTTTTTAGCTTTTCTACACTTGTTTTATATGCAATAGCAATTAAAAAGCTTAGTCTATATTTTTCTCTTTATTTTTTTATTTAGTTTATTTTAGTATAGGCAATAAACTGAATAGTGCTACATTCAGCATGTAATATATGTCATTCTCCTTACAGATCTGATGACCCGCAGTTTAATAATAAAAAAGGTACATCACGAGAACGTATATGGGGACATCTATTCATTTCAAAAATACAATTACACGTCAAAGTTTCCTTCTGTCGAGTAGCTCATCTCACTGTATGTATCTACAAATAAATCGTCAGTTTATGGGTAACATCGTGTTCCAGTTTGAATAGTTGTTTTTAATATTTGTAAATTTTTATAGGAGCGTAAATTCTTTCAAATAGCGAAATTACAAATATTTAGCATATTGAGTTAAATTTTGCGTACGCGTCAGATTAATCAGATCTACGTTTGTACATAATCAATATGCATACCACATTTATATGATTGTTTTTCTTTGTATATTTCCGTTTTACGTCTTGTATTATCTGCCAATTTGTGAAATATACATATACATATATTATTAACTCAGAAAATGAAATATCACTATATATCACTCAGTAAGTACTCTTTTTATATGTTGGAATGTCTCTCATTAAAAATTATCTTTCAGGAAGCGAACGTACAATTAGACTTGTCAAATTTTGATGAGATTTTAGAACTATTACTAGTATAAATTGCTAAAGTAATAAATTAAATATTAAATTAATAAAAGACGCATGAGAAGGAATAAGTTCTCCGTAACTTTCCCGTCTTGGCGTTCTTTTATTATTGTTTCAATCGGTTAACACATACGTTGTTAGTAATATAGCTATTCAGTACAACACGTAACGCGTGCCACATTTAATTCTTAGGACATGCGTTTTGTTGTGTAATCAGTGCAATTATTCAATGCATATTCTTCGTTATAAAAGGATTACAGTGTGTGCTGCATTTCGATATTGTTTGGTATTAGCAAAGGCAAAAAAAATGTGCAAATTAATTATTTGTATCATTTTTGTTTCGATAAAATCCGGGTAATATTGTTTAGATTATAATGTAAAAGCGGAACAATTTGATTGTGAATTTGGATTTTTTTCATTAAATAAAATTGCGTATGTAAATGGAAAAAAAATATTCTCTCTCTCTCTCTCTCTCTCTCTCTCTCTCTTTCCCACATCTTTTCCCTGTAACGTATCGACTAGAAGATTTATGCAGTATTTCTCTTTATTTATAAAAAAAGTTTATAATATGAAGAATGTATACTTACGTAAAATTGTCCTGTTTAGTTCATATCGGAAATATACTAGTTTTTTAAAAATGTAATTTAATAACAGAATATTTTAAAACAATAAAAAATGTAATTAAATCAGATGAAAGAAAAATATACACGAAAAAATAGATAGCGATTGATTTGTTATTTATCGAATGTCCAAATATAAAATGAAAGAATGAGATAGGTGTCCTCTTTCCTTATCTTTCCATTGTAGAGGGCATTGTAATTCTGATGCAACATTTTATTTATTATGCCGCTGATAGTTCTCTCACATAATAGTATAGTAAATTATAGTCTCTTTCCTTTTTGATACCTTGACGCCATGCAATGCTATTGTAGTGACAGTTAATGCCATTATAGTATTGAGGGAGGGACATGTAATTAGTATAGGGGGAATATGCTTGACTGTTTGACGTATTACGTTATCCACAAAAATTAACTTGTACAAAAGTATGTGAGATATAAAGCATCAATTCGACCCTGGCACGTCAATGCTCCAATGATAAGTGGCGCAGATATTACATGTGTTTAGAACAATATTTTCGTATTACATGTCGGTAACGTAAAATAATACAAATTATATTGCTATTGCACATAGAACATACCGTTTGTATGCTACGTAACATGACCACGTATAGCTGCACATATATCTGTATAATGATACGTACAAAATATTTTTCCCCTCGGGAGATAAATCGTGAAACATCATTGATAGCGTTGAAGCACCAGCGTCGCGGTATTCGTAATGAATTATGTACCAAATGTGACGACAATACATGGGAGCATATTATTTTATTTTGATGCGCGTATGTGATTGTGCCTTTGGTCCTTAGGTCAGATAGGCTCTAGGCAAGTCTATTAAACGTAGTGTATAACAGTCATTATAGATAATAATTTATAAACTTCAGATAGCATAATCATTATATCTTTCAATATATTATACATTAATAGAATAGCTTATTTAAATTTTGTTGTTCTTTTAAATATATTTATATATATTATATGATTTTCCTTCCTTCCTCTCTGCGCTCATTAAAATTGTGTCGTACACTGAAAGCTAACATCGGCTTAGATATTAAAACGAATTCGCATCGCTCACCCTAGACAACATAATCCCTACATTGTAACGGGTTTTCTTTAGATGTTATTCCAGTTTACATTGGTTCACGTGGATGACAACGTTGACAGTATAACCGCATCGAGCTTATAATTAACGAGCGTGAACATTTATTTAGGGACTCGCTATATAAATAAAATACTCCTGTTATAGCGCCTTACAATTATTACAATCCATAGTACATTTATTTATATATATATGTATATGTGTACACACACACACACACATATATATAATATAATATATAATATATAATATATAATATATAATATGTAATATATATAAGTTATGCTAAGAAATTATCATATATACAATTAAAAATTGTTAGGAAATATCCTTTAAACAAGTTAAATTTATACATTATGTGTTCCGATGCATAAAAACTTTTCTCACTGTTAATCAAATCAACACGGCCGGTGCGCGCAATGGTCCGGTATCTCTCGCGACTCGTTTTTTTTTTTATTGTGCCTGAACTCGCGACTTGAATCGAGTAACAATAAGAAATTTCCTTATTTCCGTTTTCAGAAACTTCGTCAAATGTCCACTGCCGAAAGTGTTAATGAAGAATATATATATATATATGTATTGCCGATCTATTAAGCGATATATTGCGCGCGGATAGAGAGATGTATAACCATCCTAAAGCTTAAACGGACTATTCTCGCGAGAATCTTACTGATCTAGACGATCGCTGATATCAGCAGATCGCTCATTCGATCTTATCTTGTTGCGTTCCCGCTTTTTTCGCGTTTCTTCTCGACATGCCCCATCGTCTCCACACTTGATACTTTCCCTTCCATTTCGCATTACATCTTCAAACAACACGAAAAAGCACATACATGGACGGGTTGGCATAGTGAAGACTAGCGCGAATCGGCTAGTCGGACTAGCAACGACATACGCAAATACATTATCATCATCATCATCGTCATCATCATTATTCATCTTCGATTGCGAGATTCCGACGAACGCAAAGAGATAAGGCAACCGAGCGGAACGGAAAGGCAAGCAAACTCGAAGCATAGGCCATGAGCGTGATAGTAAATCATTGTGCATGCTTTTGTGTGGTTTGAGGGAGATAGCACCCCGAAGGAGCGAGCATCTTCATACGCCCCCGGTTCTATCACGATCGTAAATTCTTCGCTCGACCCCCAAGAAGACGTCAAATCCGAGGGCCATTGAAGTGCTTCCCTCCAAAGGTAAAGGATCCAATAATCGACGAAGGGAACGATGTCGAGAACCCGACGACGATTTCTTCTTCTCTTCCTATTGCAAATTCGAAGGGTGGAACATACACGTTACTCCTAATGATCCTTCCTCTCTTCCGACATGAACGTGTCCATGATCTTTTGCATCGATTCTCGCAAATCGTCCGTACCACCAGTTTCCGTGGATGATATCGTCCTCGTTTCCGTTCGCGTGGTTGTCGTTATACTGCAAGAAACGATGTTTTTTTTTAGATTACATTTATCTATATGCAAGTTTTTTCAACTTTACGATTTTTCCATGCACCGTGATTATTGTATACAGCGCGAGGAAAAAGCTTTAAATAATTTTCGAAACGAACAGCGTCGTGACCGGGAGATAAAAGTAAAGAAATATCTGTTTTTGTCACTGTAAGAGTAGATAATAACAACGTACCTGTCCTCGATATATTAAAAAAAGAAAAAAAAGATCATAATTCGTATGTACCTTTCCTGAGTGACAGGATCCACCTCGATCGTTGTCGTTTCCATGAAGGATGGCTCGCTATGTTGCAAAAAGTCAGATTCTGCGACAACAAATGAGAACAAATCAAACATCTGCTTCGTGCGCTTCACTGATGCGGCGGATTTTGCTATTTCGCTGCTGCGTGTTTTACATAGAGAACAAGTACGAATCGTATATATATGCATATATGTATATATACATATATATATATTTATATATATTAGAATTTTACATCATGCCCAAAACAAGGGGGTAAAATACTAGACACATATAAAAAAAGTTACAACACCGCTAAACATTTGACGATACATAATATAATATAAATGTTATATAATAAGTAATAACGCATTTTCACCCAACTAGCCAAACTATATGCAACCGTTTTCCTCACGTGATCTCGCTCTACACGTGAATCACGGCAAATATTATACCTCGCGTGATGTATATACATATATATATATACATATATATATATATATACATACATACACTTGTACAACTTTTATTGTGTCCACTACTCTTTTCTCGTGATGCTAATTACTTTTACACGTGTGCTACAAGCTGTAAGTCATCATAAACTCGGCTGAATTCCTATGTATCGATTATGATTTAATCGCGTATAGTGATTAATCACAGGGAATCTAATAAATCGTGATACAATCGACGAGATGATTCCTCGCTTCATGTACGAAAAGTAAAAAGTAATTGTGTTACTGACATGATGATCCTAAATAGCAGTTTGATGTATAGATCCAATTTCTTTTGGTACCAAGAAGCGTAATAGAACTTTTATGACATACTATTGGATGCAAATGGACAAATGCTAATTAACAACGGCTCCAAATTTACTGCCAGCGCTGAAAATCTATAATTTACGTTACGTACTGTAGAGTCTCGGCACTGACAGTGAAATTTGGAATAGAGCCAAAATTAAAAATCGTACTAAATTAATTTTGATTTTACAACGTAAGATAAACTTCGAATTTATTGACTTCTTGTGTTCACTTTTTGGGCATAAGTAATTATTCTGCTATTTAGGTTCGCTTGAAAAACCAGCTTTCATAGGAAGACAGCGCCGTTGTAACTGCGCTTAGAGATAAACGCTCGTTGATCTGTAGGTAGTTAATTACGGCGATATTATTACTGAGTAATATTCGAAATACTTCTCAGTACGATTGTGCTGCGCGCAGCGAGCTCGTGTGAAGCGCTGATAAAAGCCGCTGAACAAAGCATTTAGCAGTTAGTCGTATATAAGAGATGTAGATACTCAACGTTCTCGATACAACAAAAGATTATACTACGGTAAAAACTGAAAGTGGTGTTTCCTTGAAAATTTGGTAAATACATCCGGATAGTATAATACATTCGGATAAAGTTTGAATACCGTAGTAGAAACGAATTATCAATTCGTGATCTTAACGGCATTCGGAAGTGAAGCAATGATAACTCTGAAGATATAAGATCAAAAAGGTATCTCCACTGTATAGATATTTTTACACTATTGTGCATACGACGAAAATATAAATCTTTCTCAGGTAAACAATGTTAGCGGGATTAAAAAAGAGAAGTTATCAAATATCACGATTTTACGCAAATCTACCGCCCTTTGGTTTTGACCGTAGTTTTGCACAAAACGCTCCATGAGATTTGGCAGCCATTTCATAGGAGCCCGTACTAACTACATTAGTTAGTATTGTTAGACGAACGGTCAAGTGTTGCTGGTGTATTATTGCGAATAATTCGGTGATATTAATTCCTGATATATGCGAAAAATACGTTAATATATATTCTCGCGAAGATTTTGACTTCTTCAGAGCGACGACAAATCATTGTACTTAAGTCGATCCTCACGTCTGGCACGGCAGAATAGGAAACATGTTGGATGAATTGGGAAACTCAAATATTCAAGGATACTGAATCAATAAAGCACGCGTGATATGCGCTAATCGACGATTGGATATTGAATGACGCTATCGAAATGATTATTGCGTTTACAAACAGCAAACCGTTGATAAGAAGAACGATTACAGACTCAAGGGATGCGAGGAAGAAACATGAATATCTTCTGTCTCGGTTCTCCATCTGGGGATTTTAACCTGATGTAATTCCGGGGAGTCCGCCTTTCGATGCGTCGAAATGGTGCTGAAATCCAAACTCGCCGGAGTTATATCGGTTCTTAGTCCCCTTCGCACTGCCCTTCGACGTACGTTTGCAGTTCTGCGGGATCGGAAGGGTCGGATTCGGTGATGGACTTGTTAAAAAGCCGCAGCATATCGGTTGGTGCAACGCAACTTGCTCTTACGTAGCGACGAAAAGACAGTTAGTTTGGTGCCGTTCGAGATGTAGCCATGTGTACTCATCCGTATATATCGATAGAATCCGAAACAAGCTGCATACCTTGTGCTTGCACACGTGTATAGACACGATACATATACATACACTTAGACATTACTTACATGACGATTCGCCTAACAATCCTAACGTGACTAAAAAAACACGATTGTTGGTCCCTCTACACTTTAGCTTTATCTTGAGTTGCTTATTGTCAGAAGAGAGCTAGAGGGGTAATAGTGATCTATAGGATACTCGAAACTAAAACAAAAAAGAAACAGAAAAAGAAGGGGGGAAAAGAAGAAAGATAAAAAATGAAAAATAAAGAGAGAGAGAGAGGAGAGTGGGAGTATTTTTTGGTATGACGAAGGTACGTGCAACTAGGTATAAAACATATCTTTCTATTGATCGGAGCGGGAATATCATTGTGCCCCAATAACGGGGTACTACGCAAAAGTAAAACAGCTACTACGGGCTAGACTAAGATTAAGAAGTACGATACAAAGATGCAATCATGCGGGGGAGTATCAATGTCAATATTCATGCAAGTCGTACTCTAGAAAAAAGAAAGCTTGCTGAACAAGTTTCGTTGATCGCGGGGATTTACCTGTCTTCTCAAGATAAACGACGACTTATCACACGTAATCGATATCGGTACAAAAGAGTAATCCTTTATGTGACAGAAGGTTATAGTTCAGTTTTATAAATACCGTTCATTGCGCGTTTTTCAATCTTCCTCACTATTTGCCGGAATTATTAAGATCACTGCTGGCGTTCAATCGAAGTAAAATCCTTATAAGTACCTTCCTTATAAGTAGTTTATACGCAAATAAACTAACTTCGAAATCATTGCGATTGCAAGTGATTAAAAAAATGTACAAGTAGATTTTAGTATTATATGCGAATATCACATTCGGATAAATATATCTACTGATAATGTTTTATGTATCATAGAATATTGCATATTTAATATAATATTGATACACAAGCCCTAAGTACACCTCGCATGATAATAATCAAAAATATCTATGAATTAATTATGTACATTTTCTTCAAAAGTGACGCGTTCAAAGCAATCATCTGATTAATAAGTATTATAACTTCAGAGAATTTCTCTTAATTTTCGCTTATAAAAGTACACAAGCGAACTCGTAAGAATGATAATTGGTTATATCATTTTTAAAGCAAATTGATGAGCACTGATCAGAGAAAATTTGAGTCGCGTCACTTTTGAAAATAAAATAAAATATTGAGTAATTATTATTAGCGATACTTATTAGCAGTTCAAATTTCTATCCCGATAACCGCCTGATAAAAGCCTGGTTTTAAAAAATGTTTAATATTATAAAATGGTATATATTCTTTAATAAAAAAATAAATAATGTGAAGGGTAATCGTACCCGGCTTGCCTCGGGATATTGTTAGACAGAGTGTAGATGACACGCCGAAACATTTGTGGCTCCAGGGCAAGTATAAGTGCTATTAGAAGTATCAGCACAGCGACAGCTATGCTCGTCCAACACGCGCAGCTGGCTCTACCGGATGTCTTCATCCTAGTCTTCGGTTCTATCGTATTACCTGAGCAAATCGACCGTACCATACCGTGTGTTTCTGCTATTTAAAGATTATCAATTGCCATGAATTATGGTCGTATATGTGAATTTTGATCAGTTGATTGATTAATTGATTGATTGACTGGCTGACTGATAGGATGATAACTCCACAGCCATGTAATTAGTATGAGAAAGCCGACAATAACAGGATAGTCACATTCTGTCTCGAAAGTCAAAATCGAGATAGATTAATTTTATCATCATTAAACAGTATGCTTACGATTAAATTCTCGTTGGTTCGAAAAATATTGCCTATATTTCAATTTATTACCAAATTAAAAAGCTTCGAAAGATAAACTCAAGTTTTAATCGCGCAACTATTTTCATTGAATATTATGAATAATGAAAATAATCTCATGCAATTGTTGAAAAAGCTTCTGTGAACTAGCTCATATTGTTTAGCATTAAATGACCAGATATATGCGTTGAATTTATATCCCATGACAATTTTTTAAACGTTTGTTGCGATCATTGTATAATTTTTTTTTTTCAATCATTACAAACATTGCCCTGTTGTTTCGTGCAACTAAACGCTATTTCGACAAAATCATGTAAAGCAACTTCGTTAAATCTTATTACATATCACCGAATGTACAATGCGTCGGCGTGTGATATATATATGTTTGATCGTTCAACGTGGCTGATCGCGAATGAAAGTATAGATACTAGTCCCAGGAAGCCCCTGATCACAAACCTCTCCATCTTAGCCAAGACCAACGGAAAAACAAAACAGTAAAAGAATGATGTTCTTATCGAACGTTTCCCAAACGAGAAGCAACACTTAGTCGATCACCATTAATCGTACATGTCACAATTCCTCGAAGCACGAATAAGAATATACCGCATGTTTTATGACTGCAGATTTGTACGACTGTACCTCACAAGCTTTATTTTTCCTTCCGGGTCACTACCCTTTTGTAAAAAGGTACGTACGACGCCATCGACATTGATCTTTGTGCAAAATATCACAGATCATGCAATTTCCAAGCAAACAATTCCCATTTTATCCTTTGCAACCTCGAGTTTCAAGCAATAGAAAGTCAAAGGTCCTCGTAATTAAAAATTAACCAAATTATCTCTCAATTATTTCAAGTTCATGAAAGGATTTCTTTGAAGTTTTAAAATCTATACTTAATGCAAGTACTGCAAAGTATCATAAATAAATAAAAAGGTTATATTAAAACTAAGAGAAAATTTCAAATGCAAATTGTAAATGAGCTAACAGAAGATCTTTGACTGTTTCCAAATCCAAATTTACATCCCTGGAACAACTGTATCTGTGACACATGTAACTTTAGGATTTGAGTGATCTCAATCGACCAACTTAATCGTTCCAAAGATGATCTTCATCGATCAACTTCCACCACCTAATATTAATTCTTCTCATCATGCAACTAGCGGGAAGTACAGGAAAATGCATGGGAGTTGCATGCAAAGGTAGCAGGGATTCAACACCAAGGCTCAACGTGTAATAATCTATGTACAAATATAATATATCTTTTCTTTTTTTTTTTCAGACTCGTTCGTTCACATAATCCAGGAAGTAACCGATTAGCGAGGGAGAGTTCGAGGGGTATGTACATTGCTTATGCAGAAGGTTAGCTGTGAGAGTGCGGTACCTTGGTCGTCCTCCAACGGGGACAGCTCCGCACCTTCGTGCAGTGCTACATCCGACCCGCTGGAACTGCCCAACGTACGCCTCTTGCTCGGGGATCTTCTTCTAGGTTGCGGCGAACCGTCACTATCGGTGTCGCTGTGCATATCGTGCCTTGAACTACCATCGTTCTTGTTGTTGTTATTGTTGTTGTTGTTGCTGGCAAACGTGTCAACACCACCATTTCCAGAACCAGGTGATGTGTCTTGCGAATACTGCACCTCCCATTGTTCATTCGCTGCTGTCCAAGAGGCGGTTTCTCCGATTTCGGATCTCGTTAATTGTTCCTGAAGGCTTCTTAGGGCGGACTCCGCGTCCCCGTAGCCGTCGCCACCACTGCTGGAAGTCATCGTTCTCACCACCCTTTCGGTCTTCTCGATCTCCGACGTCTCCGACATCACGCGTTGCACCATCTGTACGACACCGTCAGGCTCCGATTTGTCGGTCTTTATCATAGTGGTAGAGGAGTCACCGAAATCGAAGATCTCGCTGGGTAGCGTATTAGCGACTTGATTTATCCTCTTGACAACCTCCTCACGCGTTACAGGTTGCAAAGTACTATCCTCTGACGTCAAAGTCACAGTTCTCACCATCTCTACAATACCACCAGTCTCCAATAGTTCCTTCAATTTCGTAGGATCGATCGACGAATTGTTGGTCACTGTAGTTGTTCGTATTTGCTCTACGGAAGGAATTAATTCCGTTTTGCCACTTATCTCGGTCAGATCGTCCGTTTTGACTGTCTGGATCGCATCGTTCGATACTTTCTTTTTCTCCTCTATTGTCTCTTTGATCAACTCTCCATCTGTATCTTCAGTAACGTATTTGACGGTTCGCGAAACCGCCTGTGGATCAATGATGTGATCTTCCGAGAACTTTAATGGGACGGATTTGGGATCGTCGCTCGATTTAGGCACCAGAGGATCGATTTTAAAAGGTATCTTGCTCTTTGGACTGCTCTTGCTCGGTAACTGCATCTCCTGCGTTGGCTTGGAAGGCTGCTCGACCGTTTTATGTGTTCGTGAGGCATCACTAAGCTCCAGATGGAACTCGGGTTTGGTAGACGGCTTGGTGGTGGAGAGACGCGGGGCGGGAACAGGTTGTTTTGATGGAGCAGAAGTAGCATGCCTCTCTACAGTCCCATCAATCTCAGCCGAATCATGCCCTGACCCATCCAAAAGGACATGGACAAGAACAGGAACAAGGACATAAAGCACATTGATACACACTAAGAATTTTAACTCTAGCCCAGCTGCCAAAGTTAGACCGGAAAGATTCGGAGCGTGTCTGCCTCGCATACGCATGTGTACGCGCACATTACGCACTAATTAACGAAAGATTCGCGCTTGGTGCACGCACGCACGCACGCATGTGAGGCATAGGAGAAGCGATCCCGAAGAGATGCGTCTCGCGCATCATGATGCGTGTGCGCGTGCATTGCGGCTCTGCCCGCTTATTTAGTTTTTTTTTAGTTAGTATCAATATTGCAACCAGGATTAGTCTTTTTATCGGAAACGAAAGAGAATACACTCATTAAAAAACGGTGTCTGGTTGTGGCGCCTGAATCTTACTAAAATGTACCATTATGGAAGCAGACAAACGTCGAGAACATTCAGAATATTCCAAATTTTTTCTGAAATCACGCAATTGAAAAAAGTAAAAACTAATCTATATTTCTTTGGCTTGTCTTTTTTTCACAGAGAAATCACTTCCTCGCCGATATGACGATACCACAATTTGCTGGACACGCTATACAACTAGCTAAACTACTCGACGAGTATATATTATATACAGATTAATTTTTTCGAGCAAATGAAAACTCTACCTCTTGTCTTCGACAATACAAAAAAAAAAAGAGATCGGTAACTATTTAGTAAGAGACGTGCGCACAGTATCAGTTAGTGTGAAAGCGTCGGCAGGTGCTAACTATGGAAGATAAAGCTAAATATAAATGAGGGCACCAAAAAACAAAGTCTTCTACCATTATTGATCTTCGATCGGAGATGATGATCCGCGTACGTGAACTCTTTTACATTTTACTCGAGTCGATTTTACGTTACCTGTTTTCGTCGAGGTGTACGCCTGGTCCGCCAGGTTTTGTGCCCGTCGTGCAGCCTCTTTGGTCACGTCTGAAAAGTTCATACAGAGAAAAAAATTGAGTTTACATTTGGAATCGGCAAATATGACATTGAAAGCAATGATTCAACAAAGATTAGATGATGGATGATGTTTTTTTTTCTCTGCATGGCATACCTCAGTTCATGCTTCGCTAGTTGTGGTATTCCTGTTAATTTCAATGAGACATAATTACCGCATAATCGTAAATACGTGATCTCTATATGTTATATACGCTACAAACGAAAAAAAAGAGACACGGTTGGGGCAACAAAATAAGATTCCAATGTTCAAGAAGTAATACTAGGAAAATTATCCATCGTGGTAAAAGAGACGTTTAAAAAATAGCGCAAAAAACCTGGAATCATGCATTAAATAGATATTAACAAAATCGTTAAGACGTAACTGAAAATAAGTGCAGCAAATAATTAAATGTAGTATGTACATATAGGTATATCGTTTGTTCTATTCAATATTAATCGGAGCTTTCTTTGAATCTTCATGCTATAATGAACTCTTCCTGATTTAGATTTCAACTTAAATATATATAATCATAATTAGACACATCGTCTCATTCATGTAAAATTGGATTAACAATATACCCATTCGATACATATGGAATACATAAAGAAAATTTAAAACAATACACAGAAAATTATAATAGGAACAAGCGGTAGTATGATTGTCTCGGATGTTGTCGATTGGTTCTACGGATCGTAAAATGATGAATTAATGGACTGAAAATGACTGAAAGATTAGAGTGTTAGGTTTCATTAATGACTGACGAAGGTGCATGAATGTATATATATGTATATATATCTTTCTCTTTTTTTGCTCTCTGATGTCACGAGAATAACTAGTAAAACTGAAGTTACAGAGAAGCGTCAACTTAATCATTAATCATGTTACACACAGCTGGTATATGTAATATATAATATATAGATATAGATATGGATATAACGCAAGATTATTGCAAGATACCTTCGGTTCTACTGTCAGTGAACTCGGCGAGTGAACTGGGTGGCGGTGGGGTCGTTCGCACAGACTTTGTCACGATTGTGGTGACGGAGTGCCGTGTGCGAGGCTCGGGGTGCCCTACCGTGGTTACTGTCTCTACTACTCTACGCGAATTACCCGAATCGTCTGACCCTGTCTCCTTACCCGAACTTTTCTTTTGTGGAATGCGAGATACTTTCTTAACGCTAACTGTCTCGGTTAAATGCTCGACGCCACCGGACGTCTCTGACCTGCCAGCTATATCGGATCTACGAACTACCTCCTGAGCAATCTCGCCTGTGCGTTTCGATCCTACTCTATCACCGTTTCTTTTTGTCGCTGGCGTTTCAGTCACCTTGCCCGTTCTCTTAGTGATAGGCGAAGCTTTGCCCGTGCCTTTCGCGTCCACTGGTAATTGTGACTTCGGGGGAGTCTTTCTCGTAGTTTTAACGGCACTGACAGATTTGTTCTTCGCATCAATTGTAGATTTGGCGGATTTATCTTTCGCTTGAGCGAGATCGCTCTTAGTACGAGCTTCTTCCGCGGTTGCTTCTTGCTTGGTCTCTTCCAGGAAGTCCTTCATATCATCCGTTGCATCTTCTACTGCGTGTTTGGCGCTCTTAACCACGCCTGATAAAAAACTGCCTGATTTTTGTTTGATCTTTTTAGTATCTTTCGCGGTTTTGTCCTTAACAGTCTCTGCCGTACTAGCGACTGCACCTGTGCCAGTAGCCAATTTTCCTTTCACTACTCGTGTATCTTCCTTTGCTTCGCTTACAATGGCATCTTTGGCGCGTTTAGTTTTCTGTGTCACATCTTGATTAGTAGATTTAACTTTTTCCCCGGCTTGCGTCACACTATGCCCTATCTTACTTCCCGCCGCTTTCACAGTAGAGATCGTTTTGTCCTTTGCACCTTTTATACTGGAAAGACTCTTCTCCTTAGCGTCTTTCGTGCCTTTCACAACTTTACCCGTAGAGGTTTTAATTTCAACAACGGCTTTATCCTTCGCTTTTTCCAGTTCTTTTGATTTTGTCGCCGCGGCTTCTCTAGCGAGTGCTTCATCAGCAGCTGCTTCTTGCCTGGTTACTTCCAGAAAGTCTTTCACGTCGTCGGAAATTTCCTTTCCTGTTTGCTTTGCACTCTGAATAACTCCAGATAGGAAATCTGAACCCGTGTCCTTCGCCTTTTTAGCATCTTTCGCAAGTTCGTCTTTGGCTGCTTTGGCGCCGTCGGCGACAGCATCGGCACTTGTTAATAATTTATCCTTCACCGCCTTTGTATCCTCTTTTATTTCTTTATCGAGACTTTCTCTGGCATGCCCTATACCATGTGCAATATCCGTGGTTTTAGATTCTATTTTTTCACCAACCTTCTTTGTTTCAGTCGCTAGCTTATCAACTGCAATCTTCGTAGTGTCCGCTACTTGAATCACTGAGTCAGAAATTTTATCTTTAGCGTCCTTAACATCAGTTACTATTTCTTTTGTAACATCCTTTGCGCTATCAATAACATCTTTCTTGTGTTCCAGTTTCTTCACACCAACCGTTGCAATTTCTTTAGCACGAGCTTCTTCTAATTTCGCCTCGTACTTTGTCTCGTCCAGAAATTCTTTAACGTCGTCCCTTGCGCTTCCAACAGCATGTTTCGCACCTTTAACTATTCCCGAGAGAAAACTGGATCCCTTTTCTTTAGTTTTTTTCGCTTCTTTAGTTGCCTTATCCTTAGCTGTTTCAGCACCATGGGCCACAGTTTCGACTTCTCCTGCCAATTTCTCTTTCACCTTTTTCGTATCATCCTGTACTTCCTTGACAACCGCATCTTTAGTATCTGCAACTTTTTGTGCAACATCCTGTGCTGTTGAATCAAATTTATCACCAACTTTCTTTACTTCTGCTGTCACTTTGTCTTTAGCAGCTTTACCTGCATCTGTAGCCTTCTGAATATCTTCCGAGACTTTTTCAATGACTTTTTCTTTTGTATCTTTCGCTGCAGTCATAGTCTTATCCTTAGTACCTTTTATTCTAGCAGCAGCTTGATCAGTTGTATCTTTTACATCAGTAACGACAGCATCCTTTTTATGTTCTAATTCTTTCAATCCAGCCGCTGCTGCTTCCTTAGCATGAGTTTCTTCCAGTTCTGCCTCTCGTTTTGTTTCATCTAGAAATTCTTTGACATCGTCTGCTGCGCTTTCAACAGAATGCTTGGCACCTTTAAATATTCCCGATAGAAAACCGGAACCTTTTTCTTTAACTTTCTTCACATCTTTAGTCGCTTTATCTTTAGCAGCCTGACTACCATCGGCTACAGCGCTTATATCAGATGACACTTTTTCTTTCACCAATTTTTTTGCATCATCTTTCACTTTTATAGCCACTGCATCCTTAGCATCTATAACACTTTGTGTAACATCTTCCGCGGTTGTTTCTATTTCTCCACCAATTTTTTTCGTTTCTGTTACGACTTTCTCACCAACTGCCTTTGTGGTATCGGTAATTTTATGAACATCTTTGGAAATGTCATCAGTAACTTTGTCTTTTTCATCTTTTATGGTAGAAACTGTTTTATCCTTCGCATCTTTCACATCAGCGACAGTTTTGTCTATTACCTCCTGAACTCCGGCTATCGTAGAATCTTTTTTGTCTTTTAAAGTTTTGAGATCAGCAGCCATTTCTTTCTCAGCGCGTTCTTTTTCTATAGAAGCTTCTCTTTTCGTTTCGTCCAAGAATTCTTTGACGTCGCCAGATGCATCTTCTACAGCATGCTTTGCACCTTTAAATATCCCGGAAAAAAAGCCACTTGTTTTTTCCTTCGTTTTTCTCGCTTTATCTTTTGCACTGTCTACAACCTCCGCGGCAGAGTCAGCGGTTGCTGTCAATTGTCCTTTTATCTTCCTTGTATCTTTTTTCACTTCTTTAACCGCTGCATCTTTAATATCCTTGGAAGCTTGTGCAACGTCTGTCGCGGTTTCTTCTACTTTTTCACCGGTCTTTTTCGTTTCTGCTACTACTTTCTCGCCGACTGCTTTCGTGCCATCGGTAACTTTCTGCACGTCTTTGGAAACTTCCTCGGCAAATTTATCCTTTTGATCTTTAACAACAGAAACTGCTTTATCCTTTGCATGTTTCGCATCTATTGCTGCTTGTTCAATTTCGGTTATTAATTTTTCTTTCACCTTTTTCGTATCATCCTGTACTTCCTTGACAACCGCATCTTTGGTATCTGCAACTTTTTGTGCAACATCCTGTGTCGTTGAATCCAATTTCTCACCAACTTTCTTTACTTCTGCTGTCACTTTATCTTTAGCAGCTTTACTCGCATCTGTAGCCTTTTGAATATCTTCCGAGACTTTTCCAATAACTTTTTCTTTTGTATCTTTGGCTGCGGCAACAGTCTTATCTTTGACATCTTTTATTCCAACAACAGCTTGATCAGTCGTATCTTTTATGCCAATAACAACAGCATCTTTTTTATGTTCCAATTCCTTCAACCCAGCCGCTTCCTTAGCACGAGCTTCTTCCGATTCTGCTTCACGTTTCGTTTCATCTAGAAATTCTTTGACATCATCTGCTGCGCTTTCAACAGAATGTTTGGCACCTTTAAATATGCCTGACAGAAAACCGGACCCTTTTTCCTTTGTCTTCTTTGCCCCTTTAACCGCTTTATCCTTAACAGTCTCAGCACTTTCAGTCACAGCTTCAACTCCAGCTGTCATTTTTTCTTTCATTACTTTGCTTTCATCTCTAGCTTCTTTAATGGCTGCATCTTTCGAATGCGAAATCCCGTGTGCAATGTCTTGTACTGTTGAATCCAATTTCTCACCAGCTTTCTTTACTTCTGATGCTGCTTTGTCTTTAGCAGCTTTACCTGCATCAGTAGCTTTCTGAATATCTTCCGAAACTTTCTTAGTGACTGTATCTGTCGTATCTTTTGCTGCGGCGACAGTTTTATCCTTAGCTTCTTTTATTTCAGCGACAGTTCGATCTGCAGTGTCTTTTACATCACTGACAACAGCATCCTTCTTATGTTCCAATTTTTTCAAATCAGTAACTGCTGCTTCTTTAATACGAGCTTCTTCCAATTCTGCCTCATGTTTTGTTTCATCTAAAAATTCTTTGACATCGTCTGCTGCATCTTCTACAGCATGTTTCGCACCTTTGAAGATACCAGAGAAGAAACCACCTGTTTTTTCCTTAGCTTTCTTCACTTCTTTCGACGTTTTATCTTTTGCGCTATCAACAGCTTCTGCAGCCGCATCAACGCCTGCTTTTAATTTATCTTCAATTTTCTTTGCATCTTCCTTTACTTCAGTAATTGTAGCATCTTTAATGTCCTTGGTAGCATGGCCAACATCTGCGGCAGTTTCGCCTATTTTTTCACCGATCTTTTTCGTTTCCGCTGCTACGCTCTCGCCAACTGCTTTTGTGGTATCAGCAACTTTCTGCGTATCTTTGGAGATTTCTTCGATAATTTTATCCTTTTGATCTTTAACACCAGAAATTGTTTTATCTTTTGCATGTTTCATGTCAGCTGTAGCTTTATCTGCAACATCTTTTACACCTGTTGCCGCTGCATCTTTTTTATCTTTCAAGTCTCTAAGTTCCGATGCAATTTTTTCCTTAGCATGTTCTTCTTCCAATTGAGCATCTCTCTTTGTATCATCCATAAATTCTTTAACATCGTCAGCAGCATCTTCTACGGCATGTTTAGCGCCTTTAAATATACCAGAAAAGAAGCCACCTGTTTTATCCTTAGCTTTTTTCGCTTCTTTTGACGCTTTATCCTTTGCACTGTCTGCAGCATCCGCTGCTACATCAATCCTTGCTGCTAATTTTTCTTTCACTAACTTTACATCATCTTTTACCTCTTTAATTGCTGTATCTTTAGTATCCTTGGCAGTTTGTGCAACTTCTGCCGCAGTTTCCTCTATTTTTTCTCCGATTTTCTTCGTTTCATCTACTACTTTCTCACTAGCTGCTTTCGTGACGTCGGCAACTTTCTCGACCGCTTTATCTTTTTGGTCCTTTAGTGTAGAAACTGTTTTATCTTTTGCATCTTTTACATCGGTGATGGCTTTGTCTGCGGCCTCTTGAACTCCAGTAATAACAGCGTCTTGCTTATCTTTCAAATCTTTAAGACCTGCAGCAACTTCTTCTTTAGCACGTTGTTTTTCTAATGAAGCTTCTCTTTTTGTTTCCTCCAAGAATTCCTTAATATCGTCAGTTGTCTCTTCTGCGGCATGTTTTCCTCCTTTAAATATACCAGAAAAGAAACGACCTGTTTTTTCCTTAGCCTTTTTCGCTTCTTTTGTGGCTTTGTCCTTTACGCTGTCCGTAGTTTCTACAGCAGCATCAGCACCTGCTGTCAATTTTTCTTTTACTAATTTTGTATCTTCTTTTAATTCCTTAACTGCCGTATCTTTAGTATCTTTAATATCTTGCACAACATCCGATGCAGATTCTTCTATTTTCTCACCAACTTCTTTCGTTTTTGCTGCTACTTTTTCACCGCTTGCTTTCGTCGCATCGGCAACCTTCTGTACGTCCGTCGAAATTTTTTCCACAATTTTATCCTTTTTGTCTTTAGCAACAGAAATAACTTTATCTTTTGCCTCTTTCGCGTCATCGGCACCTTTGTCTGCAGCCTGTTGAATACCAGAAACAATCGTATCTTTCTCATCTTTCAAATCTTTAAGTCCTCGAGTAATCTCTTCTTTAGCATGTTCTTTTTCTATTGAAGCTTCTCTTTTTTTCTCATCCAGAAATTCTTTGGCATCACCAGTTGCATCTTCTACAGCATGTTTGGCGCCTTTAAATATACCAGAAAAGAAGCGACCTGTTTTATCTTTAGCTTTCTTTGCTTCTTTTGTCACTTTGTCCTTTGTACTATCCGCAGCTTCTACGGTAGCATCAGCACCTGCAGTTAATTTTTCTTTTACTAATTTTGCATCTTCTTTTACCTCTTTAATAGCTGCATCTTTAGTATCCCTGGTAGCTTGTGCAACATCTGCCGCAGTTTCCTCTATTTTTTCTCCGATTTTTTTCGTTTCATCTGCTACTTTCTCACCAGCTGCTTTCGTGGTGTCAGCAACTTTACGCGCATCTTTAGAAACATCCTCGACAACTTTATCCTTTTTGTCTTTTACTGCAGAGACAGTTTTGTCTTTAATAGCTTTTGCGTCAATAACGGTTTTATCAGCAACATCTTGAATACTAGTAACAAGAGCTTCTTTTGTATCTTTCAAGTCTTTGACACCTTCAACGATTTTTTCTTTGGCTTGCTCTTGTTTCAGAGTGGTTTCCTTCTTTGTCTCGTCTACAAATTCTTTTACATCGTCAGATACTTCTTCTACAGAATGCTTTGCGCTCTTAAATATTCCCGAAAGAAAACCACTACCCTTTTCTTTAGCTTTTTTTGATTCCTTAATTACTTTATCTTTCGTAGTTGTAGCACTTTCTGCTACAGCATCACCACCTGCTTGTAATTTATCTTTTGCTGCTTGTACATCTTCCTTTACTTCTTTTGCCACGCTATCTTTAACATCTGCAACACCTTGCGCGATGTCATCGATAATTCGTTTTTCATCTGTAACTACTTTATCGCCTGCCACTTTAGTGGCGTCGATAGTCTTTTCGACTTGGTCAACTATTTTCTCAGTAACACGATCTTTTGTTTCTTTCGCTTCGGAAATCATGCGGTCTGTTTCATGCTCCAGAGTTTTTAGTTCGGCTTCTGCTGCTTCCTTGACATGCGCTTGCTCTAATGCTGCCTCCTTTTTCGTTTCGTCCAGGAATTCTTTTACATCATCCACTGCGCTGTCCGTAGAATGTTTCGATCCTCTAAATATTCCCGAAAAAAATCCAGTAGCTTTTTCCTTAGCTTTCTTCGCCTCTTTAGTTGCCTTGTCTTTAGTGACTTCTACTGAATCCGATATAGATTCAGCTTTGGCAGCCAATTTTTCCTTTATAACGTTAGCATCTTCTTTTGCTTCTGTAACAGCTGTATCCTTAATATCTTTCACATCATGTCCAACATCTGCCACGGAAGTTTCTACTTTATCGACTACTTCTTTGGTCTTTGTGATTACGTCATCACGAGCTGCTTTCAAATCATGTGCTGCTTTGTCCATGTCTTTGGCAGCTGTGTCTACCAATTTGTCTTTCGTATCTTTCGCGATAGAAACTGTTCTATCTTCGGCATCTTCCACACTCTTAACGGTTTTGTCCACGGCATCCTTTGTACTATGCATCATATCATCTTTCTTACGTTCTAACCTTTCCAATTCTTTAGTCGCTTCCTTTTTGGCATCGCTTACATGTTCCTTCACATCTTCAGATACATCTTCCGCAGTGTGTTTTGCACCTTTAAATATACCAGAAAAGAATCCACCAGTTTTTTCTTTAACTTTCTTCGCTTCTTTTGTTGTTTTATCTTTTGCACTTTCCGCAACTTCCGCAGCAACATCAGCACTTTCTGCTAATTTATCTTTTACGAATTTTGTATCCTCTTTCATTTCCTTAACTGCTTCTTCTTTAGCATCTTTCACATCTCGTACGACATCTGTTGCAGTTTCTTCTATTTTTTCACCGAACTTCCTCGTCTCTGATGCAACTTTTTCACCGGCTGTTTTTGTAGTATCGGCAACTTTTTGTACGTCTTTGGAAAGTTTCTCTGCACTTTTATCTTTCTTATCTTTTACAGAAGCAACTGTTGTATCTTTCGTGTCTTTCACATGAGTGATGGTTTTGTCTACCGATTCTTGAACTTTAGTTGCAACAACGTCCTTTTTATCCTTCAAATCTTTAAGCTCCGCAGCAATTTTTTCTTTGGTACGTTCTTCCTCCAAAACAGCTTCCTTCTTCGTCTCATCCATAAATTCTTTGACATCGTCAGCAGCATCTTCTACGGCATGTTTAGCGCCTTTAAATATACCAGAAAAGAAGCCACCTGTTTTTTCCTTAGCTTTTTTCGCTTCTTTTGACGCTTTATCCTTTGCACCGTCTGCAGCATCCGCTGCCACCTCAACACCTGCTGCTAATTTTTCTTTCACTAATTTTGTATCTTCTTTTACTTCTTTAATTGCTGTATCTTTAGTATCCTTGGCAGTTTGTGCAACTTCTGTCACTGTTTCCTCTATTTTTTCTCCGATTTTTTTAGTTTCATCTGCTACTTTCTCACCAGCTGCTTTCGTGGCGTCGGTAACTTTTTGCGCATCTTTGGAAATTTCCTCGACAACTTTATGCTTTTTGTCTTTTATTACAGAAACTGTTTTGTCTTTTGCTTCCTTCCCTTTATCGACGGCTTCATCCACAGTTTCTTGAACTTCAGTGACAACAGCGTCTTTTTTATCTTTCAGATCTTTCAAACTTGCAGTAGCCTTTTCTTTGGCACGTTCTTCTTCCATTTCAGCTTCTTTCTTCGTCTCGTCCAAGAATTCTTTAACATCGTCTGTCGCATCTTCTACGGCGTGTTTCGCACCTTTAAAAATACCGGAGAAGAAACCAGTTGTTTTTTCTTTAGCTTTTTTTGCTTCTTTTGTCGCTTTTTCCTTTGCACTGTCTGCAGCTTGTGCTGTCGCATCAGCGCCAGCAATTAATTTTTCTTTCACTAATTTTGTATCATCTTTTACCTCTTTGATTGCTGCATCTTTAGTATCTTTGGTAGCTTGTGCAACTTCTGTCGCAGTTTCCTCTATTTTTTCTTCGATTTTCTTCGTTTCATCCGCTACTTTCTCACCAACCGCTTTCGTGGTATCGGCAACTTTCTGCGCATCTTTGGAAATTTCTTCGACAACCTTATCTTTCTTGTCTTTCATTGCAGATACTGTTTTATCTTTCGTGTCTTTTGCGTCAATAATGGCCTTGTCTGTAGTTTCTTGAATTCCTGCAATCACGGCATCTTTTCTATCCTTCAAATCTTTAATATTTGCAGCAACATCTTCTTTAATACGTTCTTTTTCTAATGATGCTTCTCTTTTCGTTTCATCCAAAAATTCTTTGACGTTGTCAGTTGTATCTTCCACAGTATGTTTAGCGCCTTTAAATATACCAGACAGAAAACCACTGGTTTTTTCTTTAACCTTTTTTGCTTCTTTCGTTGCTTTATCCTTCGCACCTTCCGCGGTTTCTGCAGCAACATTGACATCTGCTATCAGTTTATCTTTAACTTTCTTTGTATCCTTTTTCACTTCTTTAACTGCTGCATCTTTAGTGTGCTTGGCAGTATGCGCAATATCCGTCGCGGTATCTCCTATTATTTCACCAATTTTCTTTGTTTCCGTTGTTATTTTCTCATCAGTTGTTTTCGCGGTATCGGAAATTTTCTGAGTACCTTTGGAAATTTCTTCAACAATTTCATCCTTTTTGTCTTTTACTGCAGAGACTGCTTTCTCTTTTGCTTCCTTCCCTTTATCGACGGCTTCATCCACAGTTTCTTGAACTCCAATGACAACAGCGTCTTTTTTATCTTTCAGATCTTTCAGACTTGCAGCAGCCTTTTCTTTGGCACGTTCCTCTTCAAACGCAGCATCCTTTTTCGTCTCATCCATAAATTCTTTAACATCGTCAGCCGCATCTTCTACAGCGTGCTTGGCACCTTTAAAAATACCGGAGAAGAAACCAGTTGTTTTTTCCTTTGTTTTCTTTACCTGTTTCGTCGCTTTATCCTTTGTGCTATCTACCGTCATGACAGCAGCATCAGTACCTTCTGCCAATTTTTCTTTCACTAATTTCGTATCTTCCTTTATCTCCTTGACAGCTACATCTTTAGTCTCCTTAGCAGTTTTCGCAACATCTGCCGCGGCATATTCCATCTTTTCACCTACCTCCTTTGTTTCTGCTGTTACTTTTTCACCGACTGCTTTTGTTGCATCGGTCACTTTTTCAGCATCTTTCGACACTTCTTCTACAAGTTTATCTTTCTTATCTTTTATTACAGAAACAGTTTTATCCTTAGCTTCTTTTATATCAAAGAAGGCTGTGTCTGCAGTTTGTTGAACTTCGGTAACGACTGTATCCTTCTTATCTTTCAAATCTTTAATACTTGCCGTAACTTCTTCCTTAATATGTTCTTTTTCTAAAGAAGCTTCTTTTCTTGTTTTATCCAAAAATTCTTTAACATCATCAGATGCATCTTCAGCAACATGTTTTCCACCTTTGAAAATGCCAGAAAAGAAACCACTAGTTTTTTCTTTAGCTTTTTTCGTTTCTTTTGTCGCTTTATCCTTCGTACTATCTGCAATTTCTGAAGCAGCAACAGCACCAGCTGCTAATTTTCCTTTCACTAATTTTGTATCATCTTTTACCTCTTTAATTGCTGCATCTTTAGTATCCTTAGCAGCTTGTGCAACTTCTGTTGCACTTTCCTTCATTTTTTCTCCGATTTTCTTCGTTTCATCTGCTACTTTTTCACCAGCTGTTTTCGTGGCGTCGGCAACTTTCTGTGCATCTTTGGAAACTTCCTCTACAATTTTATCCTTTTGGTCTTTTAGTGTAGAAATTGTTTTATCTTTTGCTTCTTTCACTCCATCGGCAGCTTTGTCCAATGTTTCGTGAACTCCACTAACAGCAGTGTCTTTTTTATCTTTCAGATCTTTCAGACTTGCAGCAGCTTTTTCTTTGCCACGTTCTTCTTCCATTTCAGCTTCTTTTTTCGTCTCATCCAAGAATTCTTTAACGTCATCTGTTGCATCTTCTACGGCGTGTTTCGTACCTTTAAAAATACCGGAGAAGAAACCAGTTGTTTTGTCTTTAGCTTTCTTTGTTTCTTTTGTCACTTTTTCCTTTGTACTGTCCGCAGCTTCTGTTGCCGCATCAGCGCCTGCTGCCAATTTTTCTTTTACTAATTTTGCATCTTCTTTTACCTCTTTAATAGCTGCATCTTTAGTATCCTGGGTAGCTTGTGCAACATCTGTCGAAGTTTCCTCTATTTTTTCTCCGATTTTCTTCGTTTCATCTGTTACTTTCTCACCAGCTGCTTTTGCAGCGTCAGCAACTTTCTGTGCATCTTTGGAAACTTCCTCGACAACTTTATCTTTTGTGTCTTTCACTGCAGACACTGTTTTATCTTTTGCTTCTTTCACTTCATCGACAGCTTTGTCCAATGTTTCTTGAACTCCACTAACAGCAGTGTCTTTTTTATCTTTCAGATCTTTCAGACTTGCAGCAGCCTTTTCTTTGGCATGTTCTTCTTCCATTTCAGCTTCTTTTTTCGTCTCATCCAAGAATTCTTTTACGTCATCCGTCGCATCTTCTACGGCATGTTTCGCACCTTTAAAAATACCGGAAAAGAAGCCAGTTGTTTTTTCTTTAGCTTTTTTTGCTTCTTTTGTCGCTTTTTCCTTTGCACTGTCTGCAGCTTGTGCTGCCGCATCAGCGCCAGCAGTTAATTTTTCTTTCACTAATTTTGTATCATCTTTTACCTCTTTAATAGCTGCATCTTTAGTATCCTTGGTAGCTTGTGCAACATCTGCCGAAGTTTCCTCTATTTTTTCTCCGATTTTCTTCGTTTCATCTGTTACTTTCTCACCAGCTGCTTTCGTAGCGTCAGCAACTTTCTGTGCATCTTTGGAAACTTCCTCGACAACTTTATCTTTTGTGTCTTTTACTGCAGACACTGTTTTATCTTTTGCTTCTTTCACTTTATCGGCAGCTTTGTCCAATGTTTCTTGAACTCCACTAACAGCAGTGTCTTTTTTATCTTTCAGATCTTTCAGACTTGCAGCAGCCTTTTCTTTGTCACGTTCTTCTTCCATTTCAGCTTCTTTTTTCGTCTCATCCAAGAATTCTTTAACGTCATCTGTTGCATCTTCTACGGCGTGTTTCGTACCTTTAAAAATACCGGAGAAGAAACCAGTTGTTTTTTCTTTAGCTTTCTTTGTTTCTTTTGTCACTTTTTCTTTTGCGCTATCCGCAGCTTCTGCTGCCGCATCAGCGCCAGCTGCTAATTTTCCTTTCACTAATTTTGTATCATCTTTTACCTCTTTAATTACTGCATCTTTAGTATCCTTGGCAGCTTGTGCAACATCTGCCGAAGTTTCCTCTATTTTTTCTCCGATTTTCTTCGTTTCATCTGTTACTTTCTCACCAGCTGCTTTCGTAGCGTCAGCAACTTTTTGTGCATCTTTGGAGACTTCCTCGACAACTTTATCCTTTTGATCTTTTAATGCAGAAACTGTTTTGTCTTTTGCTTCTTTCATTTTTTCGGCGGTTTTGTGTTTTGCTTCTTTCACTTTTTCGGCGGTTTTGTCCACAGTTTCTTGAACATCACTAACAGCTGTGTCTTTTTTATCTTTCAGATCTTTCAGACTTGCAGCAGCTTTTTCTTTGGCTCGTTCTTCTTCTAATGCAGCTTCCTTTTTCGCTTCGTCCATAAATTCTTTAACATCGTCAGCTGCATCTTCTACGGCATGTTTCGCACCTTTGAATATGCCAGAGAAGAAACCGCTTCCTTTCTCTTTAATTTTTTTCGCTTCTTTGGTAGCTTTGTCCTTAGCAGATGTTGCAGTATCTTCAGTTGATTCAACCCCGGATGATAATTTTTCTTCCACCATTTTTGTATCCTCCTTTATCTCCGTAATGATTGTATCTTTGAATTCTGTACCTGCTTGTACAGCATCCTTCGCAGTGCCTTCTATTTTTTCACTCACTTTCTTTGTATCTGTTATAGCTTTTTCAGTAGCTGCTTTTGCATGATCCGTTGCCTTCTCTACGTCTTTCGAAATCTTCTCCGAGACTTTTTCTTTCTTTCCCTTCACAATGGACACCGTCTTATTTTTGGATTCTTTAATGTCGGTAACAGTTCTGTCAGCAATGTCCTTCGCGCCTGTTATTAAAGCATCTTTTTTCGCTTCGAGATCTTTCAAGCCAGTGGCTGCCGCTTCTTTGGCTCGTGCTTCCTCTAAAGCAGCTTCTTTCTTCGTATCGTCCAAGAATTCCTTGACGTCGGATGTTTCCTCTACAGCATGCTTCGCACCTTTAAATATCCCCGATAGGAATCCTGTACCTTTGTCTTTCGCTTTCTTTGCTTCCTTAGTCGTTTTGTCTTTTGCAGTTTCAACGCTATCGACGACATCGTGTGTTTTCTCTTCTACTTTTTTGGCAATCACGTCTTTACCATCCTGGACGGCTTTACTAACGTCTTCTGCTGCAATTGTGATGTGCTGGTCAACTGTTTTTATCTCTCTTGATAATTTATCATCTTTATCTTTCGAATCTGTCAATTCGCCCATGATATTCGCCATATTCCGCGAATCTTCCAGGAACGCTGTAGTTACTTTTCGTAAGTCTTCGTGGCCACTATCTGGCAGTTCGAGCGAAGGTGTCTTCTCCTTAGATCTACTCCTGGATCTGGAACCTCTCGCTTGTTTGGGACTTCTAAATATACCGAAAATGCCGCTTCCCTTATCTTTTTCAACAGCTTCATCTTCGGGAATGATAGATTTTTTTATCTTCTCATCTATAGGCGGAGTTCTTGTAACACTCTCTGGTAACTCTTCTTCAGCTTGCTTCAAGTTCTCTGCCATCTGTATTGTGTCTTCTAGAAGTTTCGCCGTTGCCAATCGAATGTCTTCGTCTCCGCTATCAAAAGAGGTATCCTTCGAAGAACTATGCTCTCGGGATCTGCTTCTCTTTTTGCTTTTGAGTTTCGGGCTCTTAAACATACCGAAGAAGCCGCCACTCTTTTCTTTGATATCGTCGCCCATCTCTTTTTCTGTCTCGGGTGCTTTCGGTTCCGACGTATCGGATTTTATTTCTGCAGCAGGTTTTTCGACATCTTTTTTTTCTTCCTTCTGAATTTTCTCCTTGTCAATGTCCGCTTTCCCGTTTACCTCTTCGTGGATAGTCTTCTCGATCTTCATTGTGGTTTGTACAACATCGTAAGATTTACTGACTTTATCCGCAGGAATATCGTCGTAATGAGTAGACGACACGAAAGTACGTACCTCTGCTTTGGGAGTGATTTTTGTGCCGTCGCTTTTGTACGCAATCGGTAACACGCTAGAGTCAGCAATCTTCCGCGTATCATCCAAGAGTTTCTCCGTTACGGCTTTGATTTCCTCATCGCCGCTGTCAAAGGATGTCTCCTTCGATTTGAGTTTTTTGTCCTTGGATTTTGGACTCTTAAAGATACCGAAGAAGCCACTCTTCTCCTTTACTTGATCTTCTTCCTTTTCGTCATCCTTACTAGGTGGCTGCTCATCCGTTGAAATGATCTTTGCTTTGCTTTTGGTATCCTCGATGACTTTCGCGCCAGTTTTCACAGCTTTTTCCGTTTCTTTTTCGATTATGCTAGGCACTTCGACAATCTGAGTTGCTTCTATCTCTTTCTCCTTTTCCTTCATTTGTAATTCCAATAATTCCTCGTTTTCCTTTGCGATTGCTGCCAGCTTTTTCTTCTCTTTTTTTGCGATTTGTTCTGCGGATTCTTTAGGTTTCTCAACATGAATAGCAGGTAAGACAGATCCATCTTCGTCTTTTTTAGACTTACTTTTGAACAAACTCGAGAAGAAGCTCGTCTTATCTTTACCGTCATCATCGGTCTCAGCAGCCTCTGTTTTTTTGTCTTCTTTCTCCACTGGTTTAGCAAGATCTTCGTAAGGTACATGCATGCCTGCAGCGATTCGTCGAGAATCTTCTAAAAATTCCACAGTAGCTGATCTTACATCGGGTGCAGTTGTGATTTCTGGTAATCTGCTGTCAAAATGCGAATCCGTTACTTCGGTAGAAGGAAATTCTGGCTGCTGTTCAGAAACTTTCGTTAGGACAGCCTTCGATTCCTCGTCACCACTGTCAAAGGATGTGTCCTTTGAACCTTTCTTGCCTCTCTTCAATTTGGAGCCTTTAAAAATTCCCGAAAAAATTCCGCCGCTCTTATCCTTTGTTTTCTTCTCTTCGTCTGATTTTTCTTCCGTGCTGTCTACCGAATGTGGCACGTTGTAAACATCTTCATAAGCCGTTTTCGCAATCTTCGTAACAGTCTCTTTATCCTTCTCCTTCTCCTTATCTTTATCTTTATTTCTGTCTGCTGGAGTTTTAATTTCTGACTTCTTTTGATCAGTTCGAACTATTGTGTCGACCTTTACCGTTTTTTGCGTAACAATCGCGTCCGTAGGAACTGCGCCCAACTTTTCGTCGACTTCCTTACCCTCCTTAGATAGTTTCTCTTTCTCGCTAACAACGTCTTTTTTATCGGGGGAAACTATTACCGTTTCTTTCGTAGTCACGGTCTCAGTCGGAGTCTGTTTTATTACCGTAGTCTTAGTTACTACTGTCTGACCTACTTTCGGATCACCACTAACAGAAACTACTGTTTTTGAAGTGCTAACTTTGGGATCCGGCGTCCCACCACGATGTTGTTTAATCATCGGCGGTTCAATACTAGGGATTTGCTCTAATTTGGGAACGAAACCTTCCGGCTCGGTGGCCGCTTGATCTAAATGAACATTAATTACAGTCTGCCCTATTGCACCCCGCGCCTCTTTATTGTCCCGCGCATCATCATCATCATCATCATCATAAACCACCGACCACCCTTCCTTCGCTAACTTCCCCTTCTCTTTCTCTGCGTCTGCTATTACACCTGTTAATTAAGTATAATATATTTTAAGCATCTGTATACGTGGTAGCAAAATAAAGGAACACAATTTTATTGTCAATTTCGTCATCATTAGTGTAAGCTGGCTCGCTCTTTGATTGCTCTTTTGATTGAACTGCGGTTAGACTGTAGTAGTGTGGTTTGTGCGTGGAGTGTATGTGCTGTGGAGCAGCCATCTTCTCACTACATCGTTATATACGCAAGGCAAATGTGATTCAAGAAGGAGAAGTAACATCAGTTGCTACCAACAATCAATACTGGTGCAACGTACATACGTACTTTGATTTTTCAATAAATTGCATTGAAACGTTCTCAGTAGCTTGCAATTTCGAAATGTTTTTCTGCGAAAATACTACAATTAGTATCATAATATTAACTATGAAATGGACGCTAAAGGTACTAAAATGAAGCTGTTAGAGAATATAAATTCGACATATATTCAGCTTCACAAAGAACTCTTGATTACTGTTTTAAGTAACAACAACAGTCAATTGCTATTAGTAATGACTTTAGTAATTTTTAATCTATCAGTTATAGGTAAAGGAAACGATATTCTGATGGCCTACGCGACAACGATCTTTTCTAATGACAGCTGCTCCGTGCGCGCACACAATTAGGCCCACATATTGGCCATTCATGCAACGCCAAATAATTGCAGCGAAACCTTGCTGAAACAAATTAATCTAAAAGTGTTCGCGAAATATTAAGGATATTAGTGGGGATGATTAAATGAGGTATAAAAATTATTGTATATAATATACGATTATAAGTAATAGCTGCTTGATAGGCCGAGATAAAATAATCCGTTATTATTTATATTAAAGTAAAAGCAAGCTGGTAAAATTCTGAAGAGGTCCGCATTGGCTTCCAGAACCTGTGAGTGGACGGCGTAGAGACAAATGTTTAGTGCTCATGTACGTTACTTGCACTCTGCAAACGTACGTTGTTCTTTATAAGCTGAGACAAATTTTATGCATTGACGTGAATCGTGTCCACAATCATAATAATAATAATAATAATAATATTCCTTATTCATTGTATTAGCATTTATTCAACCGCAACGTTTCGCTGAAATAAGATCGTGCACACTGTTGATTGAATACTTACGTACAAAAAATTAAAGCTTGCATCATAAACGACGATAATAAGTCACAAGTGAAAATTCAATGTACGAAATAGATTAGCATTGAAATATAGCAGCTTAGAAACTACGTTATTGGCATATAATAGTCTATACGCCAATACAATTAAAAATAATTATGTGCATTTGTTGCGACGTAACTGCATAATGGTAACATGTATCATTTTTACAAATGAAGAAATAATATTCGTCTATAGGAATGTACAAGAAAATTCACCGAAAAATAGTATCATTAAGAGAAAAGACAATAATGCTAAACGCGCAAATAAATATATAAAGCTATTTGAGAAACATAGTTGTACATCTCGTGCATTATTTGAAAATTTTTAAGCGAGTAGACTTCATAACTATGAACACGATATCACTAAAAAGGAAAGGTATCTCCGATCTAATGAGGTTTAGCGAGTTCGGCGAAACGCAGTTCGTCGACACATGGTTAATACGAGTAAGTCGATCCCTTAGGATCAAGCGTGCGCCCGCAGCATTAATCCAATCATGCTGCTGAATTTACAGTACATGTATGTATAAATGCGTAATCTCGATTTGGCGACGTAACTCCGCTAAAACTCGATTAACGACTGCCGATTCTTTGCCAGTAGTAGTATAAGCACGGCCCCTCAACCCGCACCGTTCATTCCAATCGCTTTCAAGCTCACTTACCAGAGACTATCTTGTTGGCATCGGCGATCGCTTTCTGACGTTTTTTCTCCGGATCGTCCACTTCGTCGCGCGACTTTTTGCTCATCGTGTCGGTCGTATGGCATTTGTGCTCAAGGTAATCAGCCATCATGTCGCTGAGCTCTTTCTCGTCGCTCGCATATTTGTCTTTGATGGGGGTCGAGGTTCCGTTGAATACAGTGCCGTTTGTGATTGTGATGTGCTCTTTGGCTGTGAAGTGCAGAAAATGCGTAAACGAAGAGACACGGAGGTAACACGAGCTGATGTGAGACATTGCATGACGAATGTAACGGATATAAGTGGCCACAGTAAAATTGCTCGGCAAGCGTTGACTAACACGTTTTCTAAGTAAGCACGAGTAAAAGTGTTCGTTCTGTGTATTTGACAACTATATAACACGCGTTGTGGCGTAGCGTGCATCATTCATTCAAGTATTGTGAGCCGTGATGTCACATTTTTTATTGCAGTATGTATTGTAGTATAATAGAAGAAAAATGTATAATATTAAATAATTTTTGACAAATTGTATATGTAACGTTAAAACGCAATGCAAGAGCGAGTAATAATAAAATTAAATTTATAGATATTACTATTTGTATACTTACGTTTATCGTGTGTGCCAGTGATACTGAGATCCTCCATTGATTCAGAGTCCTGGAATAAAAAGAGAATTGCGCTTTATCTTGGTGATTATAAGAATCCCACGCTCTTGGAGAAGTAGTTATTTGAGTAAATTACTGTTATGTATAAGCCTTTTAACTGTTGTAGCATACATAAAAGAACTATTAAGAGATATAAAGTGAACGGATAGTATCTTCTTCAATTGCGCTCAATAATAGTATTCGTTAGATAACGAGAATAAGGTCAAACGATAAAATAGCATCTTTTATTAATGATAATTTGTTTTGTCGCATGACGATTTGAATTATACTACAATTATGCATGTAGATTCTCCTAGATTTGCATAAAGTGCGCACCTTCATTCTGTCAGACTCTTCATAATCAGGGTCCATTTTAGGATCCATAGTTGCATCACGACGGAGTGACGTGTTTCTCGACGGTCCCAATTCCTCCTTAAGAGAATCAAATCCTGGCTGATCCAGTCTGACTCTCGCCACAGCTTTTTCGACGTCGTCAGTCACTAACTCAACATTGAAGATACATTTGTTCACTATATCTTCTCGTCCGATCTTATTGAGAGCTTTTTCTAACGTGTTTCCTGCAAATAAAGGACGACACGTATTTCAATCGTTAATATGAATGTTATATTTAAGTACACTACAAATCAATATATTATTAATATTTATTTTAATATATTTAATGTTACAAAAATTGTTTTACATGTATTTTAAATATTACAAATGTTAAATAGTTTTAAAAGCAAGGATACATTTACAAGGATTCGATATTTGTATCATTAAAATTTATAGCCAATTATATTCTTATTTACTTTCTTTTAATTTTACACAGACCTGAATGTATTGCATTTTTCGGACTTAGGTAAGGATATCTTCGAAATATTATTAGGAGCTCGCTTGTATAATGTGTGTGATTATGATTTTCATATTCTTGATATAAAGTTATAAACATCGTTTTCCTTTTTCTATTTATATATTTTTTTAAATCAAATTAATTAAAATTTTACAATTTGAAACAGAACAGTCTTAAAACATGTATTATTTTTTCGAGAATTTTTCCGCGAGAATGTATCGAAAAAATATTAAATAAAATCTCGGCAATACAGATTCACATAAATACGAGTAATTCGGCGATACGTAAAATCGGTACAAATAAAGAAGTGGCAGAATTTAATCACTTTCACTGCACGACTGCCGATCACGTACTGCGGAATCACGACCACTTGTTATTTCTGCTGATTGCAGAAACACCGTGAGTTATGTGCGAGTCAATGCCATTAGCAGGAAGGAAGGAGAGGGAACGAAGCGTGTAGACTTATGTCAGGCATAATAATGCACAATGAGATCATCACATATCTACGTTGCTAGAAAAGATTCCTCGCGCCTGACTCAACTATAGCGCGCGTGTCTAATTAATTGACCTTGCTGGGAAACAGGTTTTTTTTAAAGTTATCAAGGCAAGCGCTATCGCAACTCTTATTCACTGAAAATTAACATGCTACGTTTTGATGATGTAAAGGTAAATAAATTATGTAATGTCTCACCTGTGGCTTTGTTTCCACTGTTTTGCCAGATTTTGAACATGGCAGCGGCCTGTTGTGCAGGTTTATCGGGGTATTCTTGTTTTATTAAAGCCACGTCGTTAGGTGGGATATTCAACTCTTCCGCTAGCGGTTCCCAATCTTTATCCAATAGATTGGCAATGTCTGTTAATCGAATGGTCGCTCTATGTATTGCATCTGGTCTGCCTAAAAATAACATTTGACGCGTAAAATAGAAAATTTTGATAACAAATGTCGTTAATAATTAATTTTAATTTTATTACATCACACACATTATTGTTGTATGTAAGCTTACACATACTTATTCCACCATCGCGTAGAAAACTGTAGTTCTTTGACAATTCCAACAAATCAAGCTCGGAGACCGCGGTATCCGGAGAAATTTTTTCCGGCAGCAAAATATTTAATGTGCAGATTGGCGTTTGCGGCAGTTCACCTCTCGGAACCTTAGGTTCGCTCATAAACATAATTCGACCCATCATATCAGCGGCATCCGGATCCTTTATTCTCGCGGTAAACGGAACTCTATTTTCCTTGAAAGCTCTAAACGGTAATTGCAGCTGTTCACCCGTTTTCAGAACGGGTACAAGATTTCCCGAAAATTCCATGTATTGCGTTTTTCCTTCAAGAACCTGCAGCATTAAAAAAGATTTAATGACATCTTAAGTAACTAAGAAGCTACACATAACTCACAAACACTTTAACGGCATTTTTATTGTCGATAGTTACCTCGACGTCTCTACTCTTTGCAACTTCTGTAAAATGTTCCTGATGCTCTAAAGTTTTGTCTTCTTTGTCGTCCGTCATACAGAATACACGTAGTCTCGCTTCCAATGGATCTACTCGTTTTGCAAACACGACGAATCTATCGTAAAGCAAGTTTCAAAGTAATTACTTCCTGTATAATTTGCATCTATGTAACTTATTACTGAAAATTCATATATGTCACGTTAGTTGAAACGTACTTAGCCATGAAGGGCACATGTGTCGCGTGCGTGTATAGTTCCGTGGCCATTTTCGTGGCCTCGGAAATGTTACGGCAGTCCATTAACCAGAAGCGGGCGGAAACTGTGGTGGTGAAGGAAACGCAATCTTTCACAAAGGTCAACGGCGTCGAGCCTGTGACGTCCTCCCAGACTGCCCGAGTCTGACCCCCTGAACGACATACATGCCAAGTCCAATAACATTATTAAAATATGTCCGTGTTGCAAATGCGCGCAGGTGACAAAAGTGAAATGTGTGTGGTATATTTTTTCACGACCGAGATTAAATACGAGCAATTAATTGAATACAAATCAATGTCTATGCATAAATAATGTTGGATATATTAATAATAATCAATAATTCATACAAATCAGACAAAGGAAACTTCGCATTTAAGAACGGTCGCTGTAAGTGCGTTGTTGTTAGGTGCTTTTTATCAATGTGTGAGTGTAATATAAAAATAAATACATGATCGACTAAATGATAATGCTTGCAAAATCAAGAGGAAGCGTTATATACGAAATGTGTAGAAAACAATTATAGGTGTATGAATTTAAGATAAAAATTAAGTGATATATAAATAGGAAAAATACTATCATAAAGTATTAATCAATATGTATTTGTCATTTTATTTAAAAAAATTATTAAAATAATGACATCAACATTTTAAAAGAAAGATAAAAAATTACAATTATGTATTTTTTTCTGGGAATGATTTTAGAGGTATTGTAATATTAATACTTGAGAAATATATTGTGTTAATAGATTACGATTAAAATAAAGTTAAATGTGATAGTATTCAGTGTATATGTAATATTGTTATAAATCTTTTTAGATTATACGATTGGATATATTATAAAGGACATTATATATAATCCCGTATATACATATACATATACTTATATATATGTACATATATCACGAGTACAATTTCATATAGATCACAAATTACTAATATATTAAAGCGATTACCAGACAAACGAATGTGCTGAAACAAAAACTTTAAAGTTAACTCTTAACAATGGGCTAGGTATAGTAAAATGTTATCTACTTTAATTGTTAATCCATACCTAAATGACTCAATCCTAACAATATGCAAGCATTAACAATGAATCACAACAAGATATGTATACAATAATGATACTCAACGAAATGTTTCTATGAAACATGCAGCTACCATCTCCCTTTTAAATCTCTATCCGAAGATCCTCGGGACATTTCTCGATAATGGATAACAAAATAAATTATTTAAGACAAAACATGACATATCTTCCAACATTCACATACATAAATCGATTTTTCCCATTTAAGTGAAAATGTCATACTGGAACATTTTTACACGCTGGTGCAAGTTAGGAATCGTACAGACATTTACGTTTACCATACTAAACATAAATGAGTTACAAAAGTGCTGCTACCATTTAAGCAATCCTCTCGTGCAACGTACGATACTTGGTTCGATCGTAGTCCCGAGCGACCTGAGAACAGACAAGATAGCCTACCGACTGCGTTCATGCTTGCTAAACTACAATTAAATTCCCGAATAGATACCCGAATGCGCAATGTAAGTTCGGCAAGAGCATATATGTACACCAAAGGTGTACGCGGCGTATAATATTAATTCAGCCGTTTATCGGTAAGAGATTTTCCAGTAAGACGGTACGCTGCTCTACAATGTTACGTGCAAGCATATATTACCAGTTATGCTGCACAGGAGTCTCAAAGTCGGCGCATCTCCGGAATACTGGTTGATCATGCCTTTATTAGCCGCCTGTGGTACTGGAATAGTTAAAGTTATCGGCTTGTGGAACTTTCTTCGTCTCGGTTCGACGGTAACAATCGGCGACACAGCCACTCTGTTTCCAAGTAATTTGGCCACCAGATCCGCCGGTATAGGATGTGCCTGTATGTTACAATAAATTTATCGAATATAATAAATAACTTGTGGAAAGGTCTAGGTCTGGAGAATATTATTAGATATAATAAATTATTTATTTTTGCTTTTGAAACCAAAAGTTTTAATTTCTTAATTTATAGAGACGTACGCGATTAAAATTTTAAAATTAAAAAATGATCAATTTCTTTGCCCATCGTAAGTATATATGAAGGGAAACGGAAAAATACCTGCAGACCGACTCTGATTTTCTTAGTAAGGGCCGCTTGCGGGAAGACAGCTTGTACTTGTGGTACAGCGGATGACGACACGGTGCCACCTTCGGGACCAACCGCATGGACCTCTTGCCGGATGCGAGATACTACCGCGAAGTAATGTGGGAAATCTACAGTGAGTATCCTTACGATACGAGACGTTTGGAGATCTTCTAGCTGGCTTAGCTCTGGAAATGTAAATGTCAAGGTGGTCCTTTAACTCAATGTCCTATTACTTGGGAATCGTAGAAAGGAAGTTACTTGAATCATACCTTCTCCCTCAAAGCTCTCATTAAGCACATCTTGGACAGCCTCTTCGCTGGCTTCCAAGGTATGCTCGCGCCAGGTCTCTCCGTTGTCTGATCGTAGAATAACTATTTCTCGTTCCTTTCCGCGCAGCGACGCGAAATGTGGTACTTCTATGATAACAGGGCTGTACAAAAATATTTCTTAACATTTGAAAAGGATTTGTCGTCATAATCATCAACTGTATAATAAAATTATTCTAAAAGGCAAATTTTCAGTTATACTTTATACTTATCGTTAGTACGAAAATACGCAATAAGTATAAACCGAAGGTAGTCGGAACAGAAAAATAAAATCATGAAAGATGTCTGAGAAACATACCCCAGGAATTTTGCACCGACGGGACCTAATTCGAGGATGCGACTGGCCAACGCTTCTCCCTCCATCAGAGGAGGTGGATTTGTCAATTTGTCTCTCCTCAGGTATCTACAGGTGACGCGCATAGGCATTGCGGCTTTACGTGGTGGAACAATCACGCGGACGCCACTATGCCTGCATCCCCGCATCGCACCGCCTCTTGCGTCCACCAAGAAGGAAACCAGGAAGCTGAGAAGATTTTGAGAATGTGTTACATTCGTTTACTTACGACACAGTATAAGAAATCGTCCGGAATAATATAAAAAATTGCAATAAAAAAATTACATTATATATGTGAAGGCTGCTTGCAAGAAATGCACACAGTCAAGGTTTATTTTAGGTACGCAAAATACGTGTGTCCTCGACATTACTTTCGCGCGCGTGCTATTGTTTCGTTGAGTTATCAAACGTTTACAGGAATTTACTTTAATTTCCATACGAAAATAGAACAAGTTTATTTATATATGCATTATTTGCATTCTGAAAAATTCCGCTGTAAACAATATAAAAAAATTAGAGAATAGATTGTTACAGCAATGTTTGACCACAATTTCATGGAAATCACAATAAACAAATACCACAGTAAAAATTAAAAAATTGAGCTTATATATGTGACATAATTCTAACATCAATGTCAGTCACAATGCACTGTATAATTCGTAATTAATTATTACGAAAAGTGCGCAAAGCCAGAAAGCATAATCCTCGAGAAATTGTACTATAAGCGTGATATCTGTGAATCGGAGATTATGACGATCTTGTGAAATTATTGTTAAAATTTAGAAATAACGCGCTTTGATCGCGTTAACACCATGATATTATCGACTGTAACGTGTCTTTCCTACAGTGACAGTGAGATAATTTGTGATGAGAGAATTTGACTACATTCTACCGACATCTAATTGTTGTGCGTAAATATAATTACTTTGACTTAATGTAATGTGAATAAGATAGTAAGATCATACAATGAGGAATGTATAGCAAAATAAGATATAAATAAAACAGCTATCTATACAGGTCGAATCCATGTGGACATTTCTATGAGATGACAATGAGCTATACAAGGTGTTTGTGTGTGTGTGTGTGTGTATATATATATATATATATATATATATATATAGGTGGCAAAATAAGAGATAAATAAAACGGCTACATATGTAGGCCAAATCTATGAGTATTCCTACGTGAGATGTCTATCATATGGATGTGATACAGTCGCAGGCACCAAACTACCGACATTGAAGGCAACGAAAGTGTCATCTAATTCGATTAAAACAAATTGGTTTCATTCAGTCGCTCTCAAACTACCGCATACAACAATGTCGGTGCCGAGAATCTCACTGATAAGCCTGTGAAGTATTCACAAGAGAATTGTGCAATGTATGTACAGTACATCACGCAGCGGACATAAGCTCAGCAAGGATGTTTTCCACGATATTGACACTTGGTGTCGATTATTGCGGTTGTTCAAATACGAAGTTATTAAACAATAGCCACAGTTAATTTGTTTTTCATTTTAAGTTCTCCATCTAAATTTGTTGACGCGCCTGTAAACCGCGTTTACGTACATTTTTATTGAATAATTTATCGCCGAGAAAATATTCGAGATAACTGCAAGGCATACGTGCCTACTGTTTCATTCATTGTGCAGAAATTAAATTTATTTTATGACTCATCTTTAATTAAACGAGCTGTGTTTGCCGAGCGATGTATGATGTACGATGTTTCTAAGAATAATAAAAATCAGCGACTACAGAGGGTTGTGCGGCGACATATATAGGCTGTGTGTAATGACGGAAGGAAGAATAATCGAAAGAAAATCAAGGGAGTGATGTATATACACGGCAAACTGCAGAAGCTAAGATTGATGAGAAGATCACTTACTTTCTCCACTGTGGAATTCTGCTAGTAGCGCAAATAAAATAACAGAGAGGATCGGGAACAAAATAAAAAACGCGTTAGTATTCATTCGTTCATAAACATGATGATGAGATGACATAATAAAGAGATGATATATCGCTAATATTAGCACAATTTTACAAAATTTTTGTTCGTAAAATCAAATTCAATTAACACGAGACATTTGATTCGTTATGTGATTCTTTTTCTTCTTAATCTTTTGATTCTCGTTTCCATTGTGTTTCGTTTTCGTAAAATGTGCTCCTGTTCATGATAATAATAATAATAATAATAATGATGATGATAATGATGATGATGATGATGATGATTGTCGCTGATCACTTCGTAAAGTGCACTCATCACACGCAAGCCACTTTTCTATTGTACACGACTACGAAACAAGAAATAACAATAATAATTATGTATTATAGTAGAGAGAAAAACGTAACACACTCACACTCTGCGAAAAGAAGACACATACTTCGAGGAAAAAAACTTAAAATAACGACGCTTCGAAATCTGTTGTGACCTGGAACAGTGATCATCCTCGATTGTACACGAGAATTCGAGTCAACTTAAACTGCATCTCTTCCAAATTATTAGCAAACTAATTAACGCAACAGATTCCGTCGCGCGTAATCCGCGCGAAATAATTTAACTTAAAATAATTATAAATTATACAAGAGAAAAACATCCAGCAGCAGCTATTGCAACGTTGAAATCTTCTTCTACTTTCTACTATTTAACAATTTGTTGGAAGAACGATTCTTTTTTTTATAAATATTAACATGCTTAATATCCTGTCATTCATTTTTGGACAGATCACTACAACTGTGTACCATTACGTTTATTAAATAATCAATACAATTTTCTTTTTTACAGATAATATTAATATGTTTATTGTCACTAGTAATAATGACAATTTGCATGTCATTACAAAAAAATTCATAAAACAAGAAGACACGCTTATCAAATTCGGCAGAAAAGGGAAGATAAAGGTAAAGGATATATGATGTACCTGTCCCTCCACATCCCTTGTCCCTTCGGTGCGGTACTGAGAGCTGCCAGCGAAGTGCATAGGGACTCTAGGGACTCGCTATTCTCAAAATAAAACCGTTTGATTATCCGAATAATAATCTTGCTTATCATGCTCATGCTATCTCGCTTATATAAGTAGCACTCTTTTCTGTTGTCATTGCATTCATTTTTAGTCATTACAGAAGTGCCCTGTGCTTTCCTTTTAAATATATAGTGTCACGTGCAGAAATAATTCGATCAAGAATGTTGCATCATTGTTAAACAGATAGTCGAAACAACGATCGAGATTTTTTACGTAAGAGGAAAAAATTTTATCGTTACGGATATTCTTCACTCTGTCCAAATCAGCCAGGCGGTTAGTACAAATTGCCAGTGATAAACGAAAGTACATTGATCAAAGAATCGTTCGTCCAAGTGAAATGTGAAAAACAGCATGCTAAACACTAAGTAATCGAACTTCGCTACGAACAAGCAGGCTGTAACCAGAATATCAAGCGTTCTTGTTGAGCTGGTTGAATGACTGTAAACTATCGCAAGTCTTGTCACGAATATTAAGTACAAAACAAATTGTAGCACAAAAAATTTATTATAAACAATATACTATCACGTGTTTCGATACTACGTTTGTTACGTTGTGTTACGATCTTATATGATTATGTCTCACAGTAACAAGTTAACTTATATAAATATGTATATGTCAAGAAATAAGCGAACGAGAGTATATATTTCGTGAGAATTGAAATATTTAAGCTAAATTTTCATACATGTGGCACATTACTTTTCTTTCTATATCGGACACATTTGCATCGAAAAAGTATTTTCTAAAATAGTTTCTAAGTTAATATATACCACAATATGTAATGCCACACGATTTGAATAAAATGTCATCTATTATGACGTATGGATATTAGGCAAGTTATCAACGATCACGCGTTGATAACAGTGATATAAATCTTTAGGCTCAACATGAGAATAAATATGGAATCATTTATGTTGTGAAACTTGTATACAATCATGTGTATGTACATTTTTATCCAGATTCGCAAAACGCATAATTTTATTCTTTCAATATCTTTTCAATTTAATATTTCGCATATTAATATTTTACAAACACGTTCATTCTATAATATTTTAGTTATGGTTTTATCAACAATAATAATAATAATCTCGATTAAAGGAACAATGTCTAAAATAAAATAAGAGTAAAGAAAATTATCGACCACCATATTGCTTGTAATTATATGAGATCTGTTCTGTTACCAATCAGAAATTAAGATGATAAAATTAAAGTAATGAGTAATTCATTAGATGGCCAATCCATTTGTAGGGTTAATCACAGCAGGAAACTTTCACCAACACACAAACTACATCATACTATAATACACATCATTATTGTTTCGTAGTATCAATACAGCATCGATCGCGATATGTACATCGGAGTACAAAGCCGCGTAATATATCGTGGATTGCATTTCCCGTAATATTAGATCAGATAACAATTTTATCCCACGAAAAATTTAAAATCCTTACAATTTACAATAGAAAAAGATTGGTGCGTGTAAAATTGAGCGAAATTTTGACATCAAATCAATATCAAGGAGCTATTTTCTTATTATATTACGTTGAAAATATTATATATAAAGCCTGATCTCTAAAATTCTCTTAAATCTCTAAAATCGGATAAGAGAACAAAATATTATTTTTTTTTTGTTTATACTCGAGACTATAGTAACGACGATTTTCGTAGAACAATAATAAATTCCAAGCTGCTTCGTATATACACATACATTAATGAAGTTTTCAATTTTATATGCAAGACACTTTTCTCACTGTCGAATAAATCCAACCGTAAATATTAGATCATCAGTAACATGCGTCGAATTTTGAGCATGTCGTAACGTTATAATTTTAATATTATATACGCTTATTACGGCACACCATGCGATTATAATTTGATCTTGCTGATTAATGTCTTTTTGATGTCTTAATTATCGATAGAAGGAAATAATATTTACTTTGAAGTTAAACCAGAAAAAATTATTACGATCATGAACACATAAAAAAATCCTTTATATGCTATATTGTTATTATGGTTTAATCGAGTATTAAAAATTTGAAATTCAATAATATTTACAATAAAATTTGTTGCACAACTTTCCAATACAATGCAAAAATGTATCTTTTTAAGCTTATAATGCAGAATTTAAATGAAATTCCGAAATAAATCATATAATTGTCAATAATGAAATTTCGTCATTTTAAATATCTTTTATTTTAATTTGAATTAATAATGCTAAAATGAGATAGAAAAAAGTAGATGTAAAGTATTACATACCCGACATGCACAGGATGCCTATTGATGTCTACATTGTCTGGTTTAAGATTGGCCGCGTTTGTACGTTGATAATGTTCTTTCGTAATCATCTCTGTTATGGTTGGCGCTAGAAAACACATTGCCATGCACGTTAAATTTATTTTCCAAGGATGAGCTAATCTGATTAACGCAATGTGCAGAGTAATCGAACGTTCGGTTCTGCGATACGTAGCAGAATATTAAGTGTTACAAAACATACAGTTACTATCTCGCGTTCCTCGTGTAATCTACCAATATAGCAAAATTATCGAATTATCAGTAGAATTATATAAACAATGGATAAGATAGATAAAATTGCTTAAAAAATAATATCGCGACAGAGAAAATATGTAAATGTAGAATAAATTCCAAATCTAATTTTTAGCAAAATCACTAATAACTAATGCTCGAAAGCACAGATAACGACTTGATAATATTACTCTGATATCTAGCGAAACGTGAGGACCAACTATATATTTACTTACCTCCGGAATGTCGATTATCTCTCTCGTCGTCCGTCACATTCACGCGCATCGAGTCATCTCCCATGGACTTCATGTCATCAACAGTCATGTATCGGTACTGCTGTTGGTCGCTGAGCATTGGATCTTCACCTGCGATAAATATTAGACTTAATAATGCAAACAGAATGACATAGATATGTTCGTAAGAGCGAGAGAGTCCGAAGAGACGAACGAGACTTTCATATTTTGGAGTATTGTCGAGTTCAAATAAATTGTACGATATGTGAAGATATATTCTCTACGGAAGTATGCGTACAAGTGAGAATATGAGTTATGTGAGCCTGCAAATAAGGAAGAAACCATCGCCAAATACGTTGCAGTGAAGCTGAAAAAGCGATATATGTAGTTTGATGTTTCTGTAGGGGAGCACGTGGCTTGTCTAATGATTTTGTCTTAAGAATTTTTGCTAAATAAACCAAAACTGTGTACGATCGTCGCTGGAAGGATTTAGTTCTATTAATTCTTGCATGTATATACGAAACATTATCACGTCGGATTAAATACATCGGACGGTTTTTAATTATTTCAATAGTGTTCTTAAGTGTTTTCAAATCGCAGACACCACTCGTTGATCCGAATGGAAAACAGAGCTGTTATAATGTTGTGCAGTTATAATCGTTACGTTTAGTCTTGCAAAATATTCTGAGTCGTTTACAGCGTTGCTTTCACTTCAACCCCATTTATCTTTATCATATAACAAAAATTATTGTTATGTAAAATATAATCTCCTTCTCAAACAAGATATTTGTGTAACTACACTAATTGTAAGTCATAAAAGTTTGTAATTTATACATTTTGTTTTGAACATCTGATGGAAATTAAGCTACGCGATTTAAATGAATCCTTTAATAACAACGCGACAAAAACAGAATGAGATTATAGAGAATTCAATTATAGAGAAAAATTGTTTCGTACGTAATGAAACTAACTATAAATGCAATGATAAATTGTAGAAGCGTTTATTAAAACTAGTAGCATATTTCATCGATAAAGTTACACTTAAAGTGAATGAATTTTTTCTTTTGCTCACTTAATCTGAATCTAATCAAAATTCAAAACCACTCCCACATCAGATATTTCGTTCAATTTTATATTAATATAAAACAAACACTTGTTAATGACGTCTAATAAAGACCAGGCTGCAGCCAATTTTATTAAAAAAACTGGAGAGGAGGAGGTTTGTGGGTGTCGCGAAACACGTCATACCTTCTGTCAATTGGGGTCACGGTTGGGTACACCTCACACCCAAGAGGCACGCATAAACGAGCGTTATTCGCGATAGGATGGAGGTTGGATAACGTATACGAACCGTATCACATTTTTCATACGACTGAGACGCTCGCTTTATGAGCCTGCGTTATCAGATGTTCCAAGAATGTAGACCATGATTATCTAATGAACGGTCAGCCTACAAATTCGCCTCCCACAACGTCTTTCGTACCGTTACTACCATAATCACAAATTAACTTCGCGTGGCTTAATACATGCAGATTGAGAATTTTTCGAGTTGGAAAGAAACCTCGACGCGCGTTAATTGTGTTTAACAACCGCATTTTTTCTTAAGAATTATTCCGCTAAATATTATATTTTCTCATCTTCGGTATCTCTCTTGTGAGAATTATTATCTCTCTGAATAGAATCGCCTATGACTAATGCGAAAAAAATCTTAAAAGCAAAGGCAATTAATAAACATATACGTGCGGCAGAGATTGTTGCAACAGCGTTGCTAGAAATGTATAATAACAACCAAAAATTAATATAACATCAAGAATATTGTACAAGAAATATAATAAAAAATATTACTTAAAATGTTATAAAAATATATAATAATAAAAAAGAAATCAGAAGGAGCAGCTAACGATAATCTGGAATATCAATTTCTTCATCGATAGCTTAATATTTAACGTGGTTTTTCAAATTCAAGTGATTTAAATTTCGCTCAGTTTCATTGTTTTTCGGCGGAATGCAACGAATTTGATGTAAATATCTTTGGCACGCCGACGTCCACGTTCTTCGAGGACATTCCTGATCTACATTTCACGACGATTTCGGCGCAGTTCTAGGAAGATCTGACCCAGTTTTGCCATTACCCCATTCTCTTATGGTTCGCCCATGACGTGACGTCAAGAGCTATCCGCGGAACTTGTGGTGTTGCTCGTTAACATCTAAAATTAATGTAAACATTCGAAACGGACGATGATACCTCGTGCCGCCGTAGAAAATTGTAACGTAGAAGCGCTAATTTTAACAATGTTCAAGGACACGATAGCCAAAGAGCTGTGGCGATTCCGCTTCTCCCTTTTCCTCTCCATTCTCTCTCTCTCTCTCTCTCTCTCTCTCTCTCTCTCTCTTCCTCTTTCTTTTTCTCTTCCTCTCTTTTTCTTGAAAAGCTTCTGCTTTTGACCTATATCTTCCGTTGCAAACTACGCCAGCGAAATGGCAAGCTACACAATCATCACGTCGAATCTCGTTGAGTGCAGTTAAAACGTTGACGTGCGTCATGTACGAGAATAGTACATACTAATCGCAATCAAAGAGAGAGAGAGAGAGAGAGAGAAAAAGACACCGCGCTTGTTTTAAGCGCGGGAACTAATCGGATCGGTGCCGCCATTCGTAAAACCGCCGATGAAAGATTCAACGGTGCACGTTCAGGGACGAGAGGGCAGTCGAGGCGTGCCGGAAAAACCTTCTTCGATCGCGTAACACCGACCTTTTTATTCATGCGGCGTAATCGTGTCGCCGCAAAATCACGTTGTTCCAACGACACGCGACGAAATACATACGTTTCGACGATCGTCAGTTTTGATCGCTAAAATCCGCATTCGTAACGCAGAGAAACTTTTCTCGCGACGCGTCTTCTCCCGCGTCCGCTGCAATTATTTATCGATTTATCATATCGCTCGCCTTGATCCGCGCGTATCACTGACAACGTTCCATAAAAAGTGTACAAACTTTAGAAATCTTGCAAAATAAGTCGCCGTATCAGAATTTATTTTAGACTCGAGAGATTCGACTTCGTTCGAGAGACTTTATTCCATTAAATAATCCTGATCGATCCGGATAAAAGGCGGGAGATGCAATTAATTTCCTTCGGCAGCGTTCCTTCCGACGCTCAAGGAGAAGCGAGAGAAAAATGCGGAAGCGGTTCGATCTTTCGCAACACCACTAGACGTGATATCTTTTCACGGCGAGCTTCGTCGGGATTAACGGAGCATTTATTAACGCCGTGAGGCCATTAACGGGACGATATTTCCTCAATGCGTGATGCTTGTTATCCGTTCAGCAGTTACTCCAGTCCGACCGACCCAGTTACTCGCCGCTCGCAACGGCAATTAACCCGGAGGCTACGATACGCGACTTTATCTCGGCTGTGCGCGTAGAGGCTAAAAATATTCGGCGGAAGAGCCGAAAGTCCGTCGATTCACGGGTGCGCTCCTCTTCCGACTTCCGGCGCCCTTGAACGCCTCTCGACCGCCTC